TTGGGCGCTTATTTTGGTAGACTGGGGTCTGTGCAAAAATGGGTTGAACATTTTCGTGCCAGTGCAATTGGTCGAGTCTAGCGTGTTTGGGGTTATGTTGCGTCGCTCTGCGTGTTCTGGTGCACCGAGTTGCCTCGCTCCTGACTCATCTGACAATTTGATAACAGAAAGTAGCCTGAGCTCGGCCTTAAAAATGGACGGTATGTGTGTATACATGCAGAATGTTTGAATGTGTGTGGTTGTCATATTGTGTGAAGGTTTTGCCCCCCCAAAATGATGACAGTGCTGAACAAAATAAAGAGGAGCAAAAACACTTGCAGGGGTACATTGCAGAATGTAAATCAAAAACCGCAAATAAACCAAAGTAACCTATGAGCGCAAAAAAAACCAAAAACAACCCCCCCAGACAAACCAGGGAATGAAAAAGCAAACTGACGAGACAACAAGGAATACCTGGACAAGACAAATGATTGGGGGAGCTGATTGGTTAACACAAGACCAGGTGGAAACAAAACCTAACAAGGAAGACAAAAAACAAAAACAAAATAGAATCTAAACAAAAACAATCATGACAGGAGTGGACAAAAAGTGGACTTTCAAAAGGGCAGGAAAGCACACAGATGAGGGACAAGTGACCTGTGGATGTCAAAACATAGTAACTTAAACAGCAGACATTATTCAGGGCAGATGAAAGAAAACTGGAGGCACTGAAGACCAAAGGCAATGCAAGGCTGACGTGACGTGACTGTGGCATCTACAAAGATTTGAAGATTCTACAGAGGTGCTGACGCTTTTCGTGCTGCTGATGGTCAGATGCTATGAACAGAACAGCTGCACCATTGAAGGTAGAAGGTTGGCCATTATCATTCAGCATTGCGCTCAACAGACCTTGTTTTATGGATAAATTACAATACATCTTTATTCATACAGCACGTTCACATCACGTGTGTGTGCACGCGTGCGCGCGTGTGTGCATTGGTACTCATCGGTACTATCAACCAAATTAGTTCAATGCTCTTAAAAGGCCTCAGATTGCTCCTGATTTTGAGATTTCAAGAAAGGAACAATCAAATCAGTGTGTCTAAGAGTCATCTTTGACAACATGCCTCGGCTTTATCAAGGTTAGAGGGCGTGAAAGTCAAGGACATTGCCGGTTGATGTAGATCAGGGATAAGCAAACGGTGGCCCACTCTGAGTGGCCCCTTGATTAATTTTTTTGAAAGAATGTTTTTTTTTTTAATTGTAGTTTTTTACAAACTCAAATAAGTCTTCGAAAATTGCTGATGAATATTCATTACCTGTTGTCTACGAAAAACGTTCCCAGAAAAACATCTCGAAAAAAAAATATAAATCTGAGAATATGTCAATCCATGGATATGCATGGATCAACTGTAGGTTTTTAAGTTGTAATATCACTATTCACCGCTAGATGGCAGACATGGCTTAGTTGCATGTACCCACTGGGTCTTATACTGCCCTTTGTTACTTTGTACAGTGTGAGTGGGTCTCATCATGGGAAAGGGGCTGCCACTTGTCGCGCACTTTTCTACCTCAGGTACTCAAAGCACTTCACACTGTTATCTCATTGACGTACTGAAGAAGTAGCACCAGGAGCAACTGGGGGTTCGGCATCTTGCTTAAGGACACTTCGACATGATTGCAATGGCCAGGATCAAACCATCAACCTTCAGGTTGGGGAAACAAACACTCAACCACAGAGCCATGTCACCAATCATGGTACAATTTTGATTGAATTGATTTTTGTGGAAATGTACAAAATGATTTCTTGCACTTAATATCGGTTTGCTGCTCAAGAATTTGGTGCCATGTTGAATGGTTAGTTTTGTGCAAAGCAGATCTTTGCACTGAGAAAAAAATTGACAGGTTATTTTACTGTTGGGGGCTTCAAACCCTTTTTTCTTTTGTTAGGAGAGTTAATCTTTTATACATGCATTGAGAAATGTAGTAGGACCAATGAACTACATTACGAGTGCATACTTTGCATATATTTAAAGAGGCATTTTTGTCATACATTTGGTGAGGAAGTGCATGGTCCCCCTCCAGCATTTAAGTTGTCCATCCTTGATCGGGATAAATTTCCTGCATTTTTTTAAACCTAAAATAGGTATCTAAAATAAATGGTTATTTTTTTCCTACAATTCTGGAATGACCCAGTAATGTCGACCAATTAAGATTGGTTGCTGATATTGTATTGTTTACAATAGAATCTGCCCTGTGTGAAATCACCCTTGGTCACAAACAATATTTGCCAATCAGCAGACAAACTGGCAAGCCTTGCTCATTGCCAAACAAACTGAGTCGACCCGTGTTGGATAAAAGCCACGTTTATTTTCAGTGCAGAAACAATGAACGATACATAGCCTACTGCAGTAGGGACATTAAATCATTCCTCATTCGAGCAATTGGGTATTTTTTTTTCTATATGCGCCGGTTGTTTCACAATGTTACTGTCACAACACACAACTGCTTCAGCACGCAGTGTACTGTACATTCCATAGATACAAGCACAAAGTGTCACATAAGACCTTGGACCGGCACAGAATAAAAATGTGTTGAATGTAGTCAATTTTATGATGTCGAACGGTTGCACAGAGTTAAAGAATTAGGATCCAGATACTTTTTTTAAAGTATTCAGTACCATTTTTGAAAAAGAAAGTGTGTCTCATGCACCATATTTGTCAATCCATATCCACAGAAAATGCGAAACGTGCAATGTTTTGATTTGTCCGAATTATCTCATTCACTTGATATATGAAATATGTTGGCGAGCGTTACCATAAGCACACATAACCCAAGAAAATGTCATCCAATATGTACCCTTTCAAACTCAGGTGGCTTTTCTAATATGGTGCCTGTTCTTTTGAATTGAAATTCTTTTGAAGTTTGAATTGAAAATATGTTGACAAATAACCACTGAAGCTCTACAAGCAATTCTTTACAAAGTTTTCCCCTCCAAAAAACCCACAAGTCCCAAAGCAGCAGTTCCATCCAAAGTAACAGAATTCCAGCTCAGAGAAAGTATTAATGAAAGTGTTCAAAGTGTTGGCAAGAGTAAATCTCAACTAATGTGCATTTACAGTTATTTTTGCAAGCGCATTACGGCACAGCAAGACCACTGAACAAAAACAAAACGACAACGTTCAAGCGACATCTTCGTCAAGGTTGCATTTTGTCAGCGCGCACAGTTGTGCTGAGTGTCTTCCCATCTGCATGTTCACAAACGATGCTTTGATTCTTGGATCCTTTGCTATTTAGCTAGAAGCCAAGACATGTGAGCACAACCACAATTTACTTGGATCTCAGGGCCACAACCGCAGCAAACACCACACAGACATAGACAATCATGAACACTGTGATATACTTTATAGGTGGCATATTGTTTGTATGTAGTTACAGCAACCTGGTTTTAAACGATCAAACCAGTTGGCCCTCCTATGACGGAGGAGCCTTAACTAGTAGCTGTCGATGCTTCACTTGCTTATGATTTTCATACTGAAACCAGAACTCATCTCGTATTTGATTTTTGTGATTTACTTGCACAAATGTATGGTTTTCTATTCCACTGTCATTTTAAAAACGCACGATGACAAACAATAATAACAGAGTTTTCCCCAACTAAAACGGCCTGAATGTTCAGTCTAGAAATTTACATACCACCGATGAAGCGTTTCACCATTTTAGTTGCTGTTACAGTATTCCCATGGTCCCTTGTCAAAGAAATGACACTTCACTATCTCAGGCCGTAATTAGGTTCCTGAATGGAAACTATTTCAGTGAAAATAACTTGAGTGTCACATCATTAAACAACATTACCTCCACGAAGTTTCAAATTAGTGGGCCATTTGTTGAAAATTAATTCACAAAATCCATGGCAAGTGCACTGAATTTCAATGAAAACAGAAATGATGGTGTTTTGGTCCCATCTTCGGCCCCCTGGCTGCTTATTTTAAGCCAACAGTTTTAGATTGGACAGTGATTTTAAATTGAACCGGCAAGTCAGTGCTGTTGTTCAATCCAGCTTGCCAAGGTAAACCTTCCTCAAGAGCACTTTGAAACAGTATTCACGCCTTCGTCACATCTCGGCTGGATTACTGTAATGCACTTTACTTTGGAGTCAATCAATCCTGCATTCAGCATCTCAAGTTTGTCCAAAATGCTGCGACTCATACGGTTTAGCCATAGTTCATACGGATTTTGTGGTGAATCTTACGTATATGGCCATATCGCACAAATCATATGGATTCTGAAAATTTCCGTTTTTTTTTTTGTTTTGTTTTTTTTTTCTCCCCCTAACAGGTAGTTCCGTTTGCTTTTGCCCAGAATGGTGCTAGTCTACTCGAATGCTTTCATTTCCGGTAACTTTCCAGTAAATCACGTGGTTCCTAGTTGAAAACAGCAGAGTATTCATTGCCTACTTCGGTAGTGTACAAGCAAGTTCTACAAGGAAACAAATATATCATTCATATTTCATGGGTTTTTTTCTGCCGTTATTCTGACATATAAAATGCTTTGGTATGTTCTAAAGATTTTTTGCTCTTTATAAGGATTTTTTTGGTAGTTTATACAGGTTGGCGCTCCGAAAAGTTGACAGGTATGACAGGTACTTGTAAGAGGGAGCACATAACTCCTACTCTGACATCCCTTCATTGGTTCCCGATACAGTTTAAAGTTCGTTTTAAGATTCTATTATTTGTTTTCAAATCTTTAAATGGCGACGTCATAAAACATTACAACTTATTTCTATTCTGTGGCTTTTGACTCAGCATGAGACTCAATTTTTAGTTTGATTGTTTTTGTGCTTTCTTCTGTCTTCATTATTAATGTATTGTTTTTTGTTGTATAAATGATTTTTGCTCCATGTACAGCACTTTGTTTCCACGGTGGTTGTTTTAAAGTGCAGTTGAGTTGAGTTGATAGGGTTTATTTGTATTTTTTTCAATTATAATATGGGCTCTATTTTCATTCGGAGCACGAGTCGAGCACACAGCATGGTCTAGCTGTGTGCATGGGTGGCGTTTTCTTTCTTTTGGTATTTTGCTAAATTTTGCGCAAGCAGAATTGGCTGTAATGGAGCGTTTGTGCCTTTGTGCACCTTTGTGGGATGGAAAGATTTTTTTTCCCGGCCAATCCTAGGGGCATCCCTCATTTGCATAGAAATCAGGGAGGTCGGAGGCACTGTATGCGCAAGTGGGCCATGCTTAACGGAAATAGACTCGCTGGGGTCGGCACATGACATTGGCAGGTCAACTGCAAGATCTCCCCTTTCCGAAGATGCAAGTGACATGGGCAATTTGGCCCGCCTTGCATTCCTGATTGTGTATCCGTGTGTTGACCTTTCTCTGCATCATCTTGAGACGTGTTTACCACACTGCTCTCACTGCCGTCCGCCCAACAAGAAGCCTGAATGTGACAAACCATCATCCTCCACTTTTGTAGGACAACAAAATACAGTATACAAAACAGAAATTTCATATAATAATTGAGTGAATTAATCAACCATCAACATTAATATTGAAACGAATGGTACCTAGAACAAAATATGTGATAAGGGGGCTTTACCACTTTAACTGAAAACTGATTAAACAAAGTGGAGTTATGGCAAACATTTGAAAAACTGTTAAAATAGTAGTCACTATGCATTCAATTTTCCTACATTTAAAACACTTCTCTGAATTTTTGTTAAAATGTCTATACTTTCAGTCAAAATACCCAAAGGATCAATTACCATGCACTGATCACCCTCTTAAAATAGCCCTGTTTACAGCAGCCACTTTGGGGAACTGTTAGGTCATTCCATTACCGTGACGACAAATGAGCTTTGATCTCGTCAGAAACGTAGCAACTGGAAAAAAAAAAAACAAAAAATCAGAGGTATAGCCAAATATGTATAGTGTACTGAAGCAGAGTTGGCCCCCCGAGCCTGAGGAGATTCTCCTGCGAGTTTGAGGGTCCTTTTGAACTTTATGTCACATTGTGGTTGTTTTGGAATGTTGGTACAAAGCACCTGCTAATTTGTGTATCGAACACGTAAGCTCTGCGTTGCTCTTGGCGTTGACATGGTAGCGCTAACCGCAGATCTTTGTTATGGCAGTGACATCACAACAGGGCCAAAATCTGAACCACTCTCTCAAAACACATTGACCGACATAGGGAGCTCCCAGTATTATGACATCCTCAAACAGTTAAACTTGAGCGCTACCTCAGCATCCCATCTTCCATTGTTTATATGCTTGGACCAGTGCTAACGTTCCGTCAGTAAGGACACAAATGCGCTTCACCTCTTTTGCCGAACCTGACACTCTCAGTGTGGTATCTGTTGTACGAATTTCACGGGCTACATTATCTTGTCCATTCGAACAAACAGCAACTTGTCCATGTCTCTCTGCCAAACAAGTTTGTCACTAAATGGCAGTACAACGATAACTGGGTTCAAGGGCCATACTGGAACCCTCTGTTTTGACCACCGTCAACTTGGATGAGTGCTGGGAATTGTTGCGCGTGTTGCTGCGACAAAGACGTTCACGGTAATTTTGGGCAAAGATGAGCAACATTAGCGGGTTGATGCAGCTATGGGAGTAGCTGAGGCAGATACTGATGTTGTAGGCGTAGATAAAGGCGATGGTCGGGGAATTGTTGCGCAGGTTCATCACCTGGATGACGTGGTAGGGTGACCAGCAGATCAGGAACAGAGCGATCACCATCAGCACCATCTTTGTGGCCCTCTTGGCCCACGTGGTCTGCTTGCGTTTGACTCGACGGATGGAGCTGAACACGTGGTAGAGCGTGAGCGAGTAAAAGGTGCTAATGATGATTAGGGGGATGATGAAGCCCAGGATAGATTGGTAGAGGGTGTACCAGTACATGTCCTCGGGCCCATCAAGATACATCATGCAGACCTGCAAATGGTGTCTGCGTACAACTTTGGCATACAACATAACTGGCACGGTTAGGAGGAAGCTGCCGATCCACACCAGCACGTTGATCGTGATCGTCCAGTGAATGGTCCTCCGCTCTGAGGTGGGGTGAACAATGGCAATGTAGCTGTGGGAAAGAAGTCACATATTTAGAAGCATTCCGCAGTCTGAAACGCCGGTGATAAGACGCACCTTGTTTTACTTTCAATCATCATTTTAATCCCTGATAGCTAGAAGCAATTCTGAGGTTCCGCTTACGTGATGTCCTCTCAGCACATCACTTGTCCATTGAAGGAATAAACGTTGTTAAATACAACAAGGAGCACGCAAATACAAATGGCACTGAGTCGTGGGCAGAACTCTACCAACACAAAAAATGCGGGTTTGTTTTCCGAACCTAAATTTGGGTTAGTTATTTTTGATTAGGTTGAAGATTGGATTTGGGAGGGCTGAAGAGGTGTAGATATTGAAGTTAAAGTAAATTTTGTGTAAAAATACTTTTGGCCCAGCAGTTTTAAGAGTGCATACGCCCTGGACGAACAATTCATAGCGCACAATATCGAGATCACTCAAATCCACTTTTCTTCCAGTTAAAACTATGAAACTTTAGATCCTGTGCAAGTACAGACACCACTTATTTAAACCAAAGGGAAAATAAGCAATTAACTGCTTGGATATATCCAAAAAGTATTCATTCAAAGGGAAGGGCTTTCAAATTTAAGGAGAGAATATTAAAATTAGGAACATACTAACAGTGAGAAGGAGCAGTTTGTTCCTGTTCGTCCACACATAATAATAATAATAATAATAATAATAATAATAATAATAATAATAATAATAATAATACATTTTATTTGAAAGTAATTTTCACACTACTCAGAGACACTTTAGAACAAGAGTTAAGAAATACAACTCAACTCAACTCAAAAGTATTTATAGAGCACTTTCAAACAGCGATCGTTGCACACAAAGTGCTGTACATGGAACAACTAACATATACAACAGTAAAGCAAAGCAAAACCCCAACCCTAACCCTAACCCTAACCCTAACCCCAACCCCAAACCTAACCCTAACCCGCTGAGTCAAATGCCAAAGAATACAAGTGAGTTTTGAGGCGGGTTTTAAAGATGGGCAGCGAGGAGGCTTGCCGAATGTTCAGTGGGAGGACATTCCAGAGAGATAAATACAAGATAAAAACCGACAGTTTAAAACAGAATATACACAAGTTTCAAAACGCACACGTCAAGAAAAGAAACACAAAGCAAGAAATAAGTAACAAAGATTGAAACACATTAATAACATCGCAGAACAGGTGAGTTTTGAGAAACGAGTTGAAGGATGGGAGGTCAGTACATCTGCGGATGTGTTGAGGTAGAGAGTTCCAGAGGGTGGGGGCAGCGACAGAGAAGGCAGGTTATGTGTGTCGTCATGGTGATGGCGAGGAGGTTTGCATTTGAGGATCGGAGGGTGCTTGAAGGAGTGTATGGGTGGGGAAGCTTGGAGAGGTGTTGGGCGGCCTGATTGTGAATTCAGATTTAGATTCAGAAAACTTTATTTATCCCTATGGGGTAATTTGCACTTAACAGCCACGCTCTGCATTAGAAACATGAAAAACAATGATGAACATGGGATACAGTGCGAAGGGCCTGTCAGTACTCGACGTATGTACAGTGCCCCGAGATCTTAGTTGAGAAAGTAAACACTAGGGAAGGAGAGGGAAAAAAAAGGAGAGGGGAAAAAAAGGGCTTTATAGATGAGTAGGAGAAGTTTAAATCGAATGTGCTGGGGAGCGGGGAGCCAGTGGAGATTTTTTAGGACAGGGGTGATGTGATCACGGGAGTAGGTGTGGGTGAAAAGGCAGGCGGCGGTGTTTTGGATGTATTGTAGCTTGTTGAGGAGTTTGGATGTTGTAGCATAGAGGATGCTATTGCAGTAGTCCAGCCTTCCTCAACTGGCGGACCGCGATCCACGACCGGACCGCCGACCTCCTCTGTCCGGACCTCCTCTGTCCGGACCCTCAGCGAATTGTATACAATAATAATTTATAAAGTGATTTTTACGTTATACATTTTATATTTGTGGACTATAATCTGCGCATTACCGCGATCGCTTGTTAAAATTATCCGTTGTATTCTTTGCCTGCACTAACAGATGTATTGCACAGGACTGCAGCAGTGCGACTGTGTGTTGTATAATGTTTGACTAACTGGAGACCCTGGCTGAGCAGGGCATGTCG